GCTTTGGCAACTGAATCATTGCTATCGGGATTGACGCCAGGTGTAGTGCCAAAGATGATGGGCGGGCGGGCAATTAAGATAACTCCAAACAGACTGCAGACTGGATGTCGCCATCTTGAGCAAAGGGGAAGCGTGTCTAAGAAAGAGCTTACTGGCTGCAAGTGCCTCTTTTTTTGAATAGTTCTCCTTCAGTATCAGATACCCCGCTATGGCCGTTGTCAGTGGGTTAAGGAACGTCAAAACCGTTGCGTCCGCGAGGGAGAGATATTGGAGGGAGTAATACATTCCAAACAGGCCGAAGAAACTAAGAAGTCTCTTGTCATTTCCGAAGTTGGGAAGTAGGACCAGCACTAACCCACAAAGCCCTCTGCTCACGAGTAGCAGCCGAACGCCCTCTGGGCCCAAGAACGGATCCGGGATTTTCATGATAACCCTATGAGGGTGAACACATGCATGTACGCAAGAGCGAGGGATACTCACATGTAGAGCTGATATATACTACACCGTAAGCACGCAGTAGAGCACCGAGGTGTACGACCAACTCACAACACAACAAGTGAATGTGATCGCCTTCAAGTAAATCAGATCGACATGCCCCAGAGAAGTCGACCGTACATACCATACGAACGGCGATAAGCTGCTCGGTGCTTAGTGAAGAATATAGCCGAGAATACTTATGGAATAACTCACCTCCAGTGTAGGCACCGGTGTGTCCAGGCTATTCAAGATTTTGACCGCAAGGTTCATGAAGCAGAAAAAGAGCTGCGCGAACATGATGAACAGCATCCCAGCATTGGTCTCGCAGAAATCAACAACGCGCGACTTCCCAGTCCTCCATCGCCCCTTCAGCCCGTAAAAATCGTCTGAAGCATAAGTTATGGAAGATCTTGGGGCCGGAGTGAACGTCACTCCACCCGTGTCTCGAGCCGTCACTTCCTGCGTGAGGGCTGAGTAGGCGTGCTTCATGGACATGAGTCGCTCCCGATTTCAAGGTACAATCCGTAACTGGAAAGCAGTATAGGATGGGGGCTCAGGGACAACACGAGGACGTCAAACATCTCACCAGAAGGGCCATGTGAGGCTTTTATGTTGTCCATTATTGGCTCACGCTGGAGTGTGGGCCTGGTGTGTCATTTTTAGATCATACGGCGTTCCTTGATAGCACCATTACCTAAGGACACACGCCGATCCCAATGCTCATCTGTTGGGGGTCGGCGACAATCGTCCGAATTTACTTACGGCAGGGAAAACGCATGATGCAGACGACGACCTTGGTAGATGGGTCTGCTTAACCCCATAAAAAAGACGGTGGTCAGAGAACGGGGAGCTCTCACCAAAGAGGATTGTTGCTAGCGTCGTTTTGCGCGCGGCAAGACCGTGACAGGACCTACAAAGAACATTCCATGCCTGATCGAGATCAGCGTCAGGCAAACCCATGTTCTATATAGGCTGGGCAATGTCCGATTTTTTGCGGTCAGAGTTTGGGTGAGAATGAAGCGGTCTCACAGAACGGCTATCATCAGCTTGGAAATGGTGTGAAAATACAAGATGAAGAGAAACGATCAGCTGGCGGTTGCGGGATGTATTACTGACATCTGTGTAGGGGGACAAGTGCTCATGATGATCCATCCCAGCACTCAGTCTTCCGTCTAACAGCTCTGACATTCTTCGAAATCCATCCTCACCCCAAATACCTACCAAAGCGCGCTTATGATGATCCATAGTTTGGCCGAGTCGACTTTCTCATTACTTATCAGAAAATCCGCCCTAGAAGGGATGAACGAGCAAACGTCAAAATAGAAGAGCGGATTCTTAATATGCAGTTGGTGACTTAAGCCCCTGCTGTGGCCTCCTCGACTACCTGTTGCATCCGTGTGATAAATGCAAGTTCAACCAAGAAGATAAACGCAACTCGCCTATTCAAAGCTCAGCGCTCAGGTACAGTAAGTAGTGTATAGCAGCACACACCACTACTCCGTGACGTGACGCGAGACACGCGTGACATATGTATGTCACATTCCGAACTCTGTCAGATTCTCAATCCCACGACACCAACTCACCAAAAAGCGTGTACATTGCAACAGTAAGTATCGTCCAGACAAAACACCGTTGAGTGGTGTCGCTGTATGTGGGCGCAAGCGACCGTGACTTAACACGCGATCTGAAACGGCGGGGGTGGGATCCTACTTTATCGACTTTCCTTGCACCTGGGTTTGGTGTCTTGCCTCTAAGCCGCTGCTTCGGTGATATAGGCAAAAAATAACTGTCGCCCATTGAAAGTAATGCTCGAAGGCACATGTTCTTCTACAGCCAATGATACGTGATTCTCGTCCTTGCATTTATAATCTCATAGTTCTCCAAACCAGGCAGCATGAGTTCTTCATCGCGATGAAACTTCTACCGCCTTCTAGGCAGTCCCTTCGCAAACTTTACAAACCTCACTTTCCCTCCAATACGATGCTCCGGTCGCGCAAGCACTTACGAAGCCATGAGATGACTCATCTATCTGTACACAAATCGGTAATCTGGACCGAGTTGAGAATGTTCTCTGTCTCCGATCGGGCCTCACAGGGTATTGTTAAAAGGATCTCCCCATGGCTCATGCTTATGCCAGCCCTTTCCTCTGTCTCCCTGGTTCGTCGATACCCTATTAGACTGTTCCCCAATTGCCTTGCGGTCATCCAGGATGCTGGCACCTCCGTTGTCCCCGACAGAAACGCTAGTCGATGCCGCGCCGAAAAGGCTGTCGCTCACAAGGAAGCTTGTTTTGCTGACCATGTTCTGTCTTGCCCAATTCTTGGACTCCTTTAACAACTCAGCTCTATTCTCCGCGATACCCGCTCTCGAGATTTCCATGAACATGACTGAGAGTCAGTCGACGTGGATTATGAGCGCATTTCAGCTGACCTTCTCATCCTTCCTCCTAATTGTGAGTCCCATGCATTTTCTCCCGAAAATGCACTTATATTACCACAAGAGTGGTCGCATCAGTGACGTCTACAATCCCAGTGAGCATATGATGATTTTTGCTGGGCATTGACAGTCTTGGTTGACAATATCGATCCACAGAAACTGCGTTCATCGCAGGTGTGTCTGGCCTCGGCTTAATCTCGGTTGGTGCCGGCTTTGTGCAAGATAAGATAATCATAATTATCCTCAGAGCCTTGATTGGAATTGGTGAGTCCGTTTCCTTGAGGCTCGAAATTATATGAATCATGTATGCAGCATCGGCCATGACCATACCATCTGCGCTGACATTACTTGTAAATGTATTCCCGGACCCACTCGAACAGGCTCGGGCCATTGGTGTATTTGGGGGATGCGGCGCCGTTGCCAATGGTGAGGATCTCCTATATACTGGGGATGACCGCTTTTGACGGACGATTTTGCGTTTGTCCAGTGCTTGGCCTTTTAATCGGTGCCTTTTTCGTTCAGTTCGCATCTTACCACTGGGTTTTCTGGTTTGTGGCTCTAGTAGCCGCTCCTGTTGCATTGGCTTGCGTTTTCGTGATTCCCCCTCAAGCAGAGAATATTGATGACCTGGAGCCTAGCATTGCGAAGTGGAAGAGGCTCGATTTGATCGGCGTATCTACTCTGACTGGCAAGCCCCGTCTCTCAGGCAGATTTTAGACGAGATTACTGACTCTTCACGTGATAGTCGCCCTCATACTTTTCATTTTCGCGGTAACATCCGGATCGACCGACGGTTGGGCCACCGCAACAGTGCTCGTTCCTCTGATGATCTCCATCTTGCTTGTTATCGGCTTCTTTTATTGGGAGACAGTTGTTCCTGTCAACAAAGCTGCGATGTTCGTTTCTGTGCATCCTCCTGTTATGAAACTTATCGTGGCTTTATAGACCCCCGCGAACTTGGTTTTACAATAACTTCTCGGTTCTCTTCGCCGTCGCGCTACTTCCTTTCTTTTGGTGGAGCGCGGTGTTTACGATGTTCACAACTTTGTGGCAGAACGTATACCATTGGTCGGTTATATCCTCCGCCATCCATATGTGCGTCATCCCACCGCAGCTACCTGGGTGATTCATCTTACCTATCATGTTCACAAGGTTTCCCATCGGCGTCCTGGCGTTCTCGATGAGTTTCACGGGATCCCTCTCAAGGGTTTTCAGCCCGAAATGGATCATCCTCACTGGGCTCTCGCTGCTCGTGGTTTCCACCACATTGATCGCCATCGGAGGTGGCAGCCCCGATCAATACTGGCCTTACATATTCCCGGCGTTCGCAATAGGAAGTGCCGGCGCCATGCTTACTTACACCCATACCAAGTAAGTCTGACCAGTGTCATCGTTCCTGTCTCTTCATGAAGTTGGTGCTTATCTTCTATCACAGCATTGCTATCTTCCAAGCCGCCCCCTCCTCCATGGCGGGAACTGTGGGCGCTGTGTTCAATGGCGCGCTCCAGTTTGGCAGTGCTATTGGGTTAGCAGCGATAAGGTTTGCAATCTAAGCCTCCTTCCTCTGTCTTGTCTCACTCTGCGCCTGTATGTAGCTCGATCGAAACTTCTGTGGAAGCAACACATGGGGGGCCCGACGAATATGCTGGTCGTGCGGCTGCTTTCTGGTTCATTCTGGGCCTAGTATGCCTTGAGTTCATCTCGGTATTCTGGTTCTATCAAAGGGGAACGGACCATCAGCCTCAACCGAAACATAACGACTCTCTATATGACGAAAAGGCGGACCACGTAAAAATCAGCGCGCCCGGTACCGACATAGACCTGTCCACGTCGCCAGTGTAGATCTCCCCTTCCTTTCTCTCTTGCGCTGCGGCGCCGAGCCGTGCTGTGCTTCGGGTGCTAGTGATGTTATAGACGTGTTCATGATAGCAAAAACGCAAGTACGGTATTGTTATATCCTACAAGATAGATAGTGTGTATTATATAGTGTCATCCTGGTACCGATACTTAGAAGTCTGGCAGACGATAGAATGATAGATGATACCTTTGCACGAATTATGATCACAGCAACCTCCACTCCGATTAACTCGGATATGGTGTAACGGCTAACATTGCCGCCTCTCATGAGTTCGCGGCAGCTCGGGGTTCGATTCCCCGTATCCGAATCTTTTTACGTTGGATCTTTAGTGGTCAACAGTGTTGTGCCCAACGGACAGCAGCCTTGGACATGTTTAGCAACCTGTGTTGGTTATCTTTTTACGTAGATGAAGTTGTCTTCGTTTCCGTGTCTGCGTCATGGAACTGGGAAGAAAGTGCTAGTCGACAAGATGAGATGAGGACTGTCGTGACCCAACACATGGCTTGTACCTCTGATACGAAGTCAGTATTCTTAGCCTACCAGCTGGGATAATGCGGCCTTGGAAGATGCCACACCAACAAGAGAGGAGATGCAATAGCCTTCCGAAGGCTCACTGGTGTCGAGACTCGGTGAAAATCCGTTTTCCGCCTAATGGCCAACAGCACGGTTTCAGTGGTGGGCCGCATCGTATTACGCTGGAAGATTCGAGGTTGCGCTGAGCATTACAGCAAGTACAACATCCCAAGGCCGCCTGATGGGAGGCACAGGGCTAGACCGCTGCAGATAAGGAGGTGATTCAATGATCTGAGGGGGATTGGAGGTGAAACTCGTCCACAAAAGAGAGGGCCCTGCTTTCCTTCTGTCCAGCGGGTTTCCACCATCACGGGCTCCCGCCTCGAGAGCTAGGTGATACGTCACCCACTGACCTGTGACAAAGTCCTCGGAGAATACAGCACACAGGCACTTACACCTACTCACCGTTGTCGTTCTGAAACTGCTGTCTGAATTCTTTGGTCGTCTCAAACGGGTTATTGCGTCCGCCAGGTAGGTAGTGCGGCCGCGGAACTTGGAAATGTCGCTACTAGTATGTCGTTACGGTGTGGCTTAGATTTGCTGGGGCCAAGTCGTACTTACTGAATGGTAGATCAAGCCTTAAAGGAGTTGTAGTCGTAAGTGTCAGCATCCGTTGTTTGGAGGTATCCAGTGACTATGAGAAGATATCCTGGTAGGCGGCGGCTCGTGGCCAGGGAGCGACCAACAACGAAATGCGTAACCGCCGCACCACGAGGCTCGACATAAGGGACTTGACGTGTCTGGGACTCTACGAGATGCCTTATGACGCGTCTGATTGAAGGAGTGGGAAGAGAGCGGCGCGGAGGCAGCGTTCTGTATAAGCTTGTCTGCCACGTTCATTAAGCAAAACATCATGGTTCGACGCGGAATGGAATAAGCTTAAGGTTGAAGAATGATGGGTGGTAAGCTTACCAGGATGGTATAATACTTAACGGGATGGCAATCAGATAAGGAGATCCACAACAACAAAAAAGGCTTACCTCAGTGCGTAGATCGGAAGGGCTAACTGCACATGGGATGTAAGGTAATGCAAATAACCTTCGTGAACTAGGGTGCGACAAATACCGTGCAGGAGCGTCAAAAGAGCGTTAAGGGGACGTAGTGCTATGTAATAACTGGCCCTGCAATCGTAAGTATCAATAGAGATCGACAGGGTAGTTGCATTAGGCCTGGGGAACAAAGCGGTCTGCTTTTTGGGAAATGTCGTCATTACGGGCTCTCCACGCAAAGCCAAATGTCAGTAGGCCCATCTACGAAATTGGAGGGGACGCTCTGATAGACACATGACAGTCTATAGTGGCTGGGGGTTCACCACATTATGGTTGTAGGACATATGAAGTATATCTGTGCCTCCACTCCACCCCCTAGAGCAACTGGACTGGATATGCATTATACTCGTGCACCTCCTTGGCCATTGGAGGGGCATATGTAAGATGTGCGTGGACACGCACAGCACATGCTTGCCACACGACATAGCCAAACAGATGCGGGTTCCGAAGGAGGTTGTACCTAGCTTGGAGGACGACGTCAAGAAATCGGAGGATATCGTGCCGCCGTAATGATGTCCCTCGCCTTTGATTGGCTTGACGCCAACAACGCCACCACTATCAGACCGGTAAATAAGAACAACAGCGGCCGATGCAAGGCCGATAGGAGGCGAAACCTGATGTGATGCAGAGTGGTCGATTAGAGGGATCAGACAAGAATGCCCATGGGGAGCGCCTGTTGTGTGACGTGTGATTATAGAAGGAAGTGATGATGCGATGTCGACGTGGGACCAAGCTGTGATACTGTTAGGGCTGCACGGCAAGCGAAGCAAAGATGCGACCGTAGCTTGTGCTGTGTTCGGCAGGAAAGAGGTGCAGAACTACCAAACGGTTCAAAAACACTACATGACTGAGGTTTTCATCCGAGTTCAATTAGTTAGCCTTGTCTGTCTGGAGAACGGGATAGATAAGAACACGAACCTATTAGTGGGAGTCCGTCCACTGAGGATCAACATCAGATCGCAGTGTGCAGACTGTCCACGCGTTCCTAAAACAATTCGATCGCATCTATTGCGTTCTACCACCCGCCATCCCTGACAAGAAGTGCAATCAAGCAGAATGGAAGTGCACAAGGGGGGTGAAGATAAGCGCTGATTACAACGATTCAATCGGACCAAGATATAGAAATGAGCTCCCAGCGCGGGGAGGAGGGGATCACACAAGTGACGGAAGTCTCCGCGGTGAATCAATTAAGGCAGGTTCGATCGCTCACGGACTATGCGCAAAGTTCAACGACCCTGCTTATTTCATTATCGCGACGGCATTCTGCGGGTACTTTCTGACCGGTCAAGTTTCAAGTGATACACACAAGTGTTACATACCGTCATCATGTGGATCGTACGATGGTGTTGCCACTGGAGCTTTGTCAGACCAGGGATCGATCCACAAACACGAGGCCGATCCCGAATTAGCGTGGATTCGAGGCAGAACGTATCATACCCACGCCGCACGTTCCCGAGGTAAAGTTGATCCGTCGTGGCACCCTGACTCCGATAGACTTATCGTGCACGGAGCTTGCTAACGATGCCAAATACTATCAGCCGGCAAAGGAGATGAGGTACACATTCAGCCGCAAGGCGGGAATACCGGATAGCAGTGTAGGGCTCACCAAGTTCATGACCAACCCATTCCGGCTTCAAATCTGCAGAGATGGACCGAGAAAAGTTGCGCAATATCGAACAAGGCAATTCGGCACCACCCGAGCGGAGAATGGCTCGGAATCTACCGGACTCATCTTAGTTCTCTGCCTCGCGCTGGGACTATTTGCCCAAATTTTGCGAAATGGGCCCTACGAACGGATCCCAGAAGCCTTACGAGGCTTTCATGAATCCACGTTGGGCATGTATAGCTGACCAAAGAGCGACGGAAGACGATCACGAGGTAGCTCCGCTGTGGATCGGGCCCTCGCGTAATCGTCAGATGCAGTGTAAGACACCGGGAGTCAACAGCGTACAGGAATTTATGTTGTACACGAGAGCATCGATGTGCTGTGCGCACTGCAGCGTTGAACCTGGCCTTGGGATGCGCACCAAGACCAGGTATGTGCGCCTCTTCCATAATCCGACGATAGTCCGACTCGGTTGCGAAGAAAATTAGACGCGGACGTCTGGACTCCAGAACGATCCAGGTCAAACGGGCATTGTGGATTCATGCCCGTCTCTGAGCGATGGCAAGGCACAACGATGGAAGGTTAAGCTGCGCTTGGTCCCGGTTCGGCTTTCGAATATCCTCGCTTGGGGCTGGATTCGTCACTGTCGCAGCAAATTCCAGAAGTAAGTGACCGCGTGCCCGTTGCAAGAATGGAGTGTCGTGCGACTTGTTTGTACAAACGGACTTGGTATCGGTTTCTGTCCTCGTAGGCAAGCACAGAAATAGCAAACAAGGGTGTCAACGGAAGAGAGAATGTAATATACATACACGCAACAGGGAATGTGTGACAGTGCTGGTTCTGATGGACGGGCCTCCAGACTCCAAGTAAATATCGACCTGCCTCTGTTACGTTTCCCACCGGGAGCAGCGGATCCAAGACAGCATGCCTTGCGGAGATGCTGCGATTCTAGCTGAGATTGAGCTTGTAAGGAATCGGAACCGCAGCGAGTGATGGCATGGACTTGCGGGTGGAACATAGAAGACGCATGCGTGCTCCGGTTCCCCTGGCCACTTGCGCTATAATATCTTTGCTATATGAAAATCATTCCTTGTGGAGAGGTATTACAGAACGTTTCAGCCAATAGGTATGACTTACGGGAGAGTGGTCAAGACAGTACGGAACCGGGAACATTATACGGCGTTGCTGGGTGTTGTTATAGCCTATTCGCCATTGACCCTGAGTAGAGGAAGCGCATGTACTTTACGGGCATGAAGTCAAACGTTTCGCAGTTTGAAGGACTCGTTGACGAGATAGCCAGGGCCCTTAAACTCAGTATAGACTGTTAGAATGTGAACCAAGGCAGGAGGGTTGTTAACTGGGAATTCACCGCTAGCCCTTGACCCTCTTTCTGTCAAGGAGAAGTTCTGTGGTTCTGGTGCGGTTCCTTGAGAGATGGGGGTAGTAGTACCAGTTGATACAGGCTAGCCAGACCAGGGACTGCCAGAGAGCATCGCAAGGGTTCAGACCTTACCAGCTAGAAAGCGCGGAACCCCCAGCAATGCCAAGTATCACTAGACCACAATACCATTGTATGGGCGCCTTTGACAAACTCGAGTGGTGACTTGGTGGCAAACTAGTATGGAAGAGGTGTCACTTACATGTCAGTGGGTCGCTGTGCAGCCACATACGAAGAGCTCAAGACCGGGTACGTGATTTTCGGAATCTCGGGTGTGCAGTAAATAGGATAGGCTGTTGCGAGATAGCGGATCTGGGGACTGCGTAGAAGGATCTTCCTGGATCTCAGGTAATTGAAACTTTTTGAGGTAACACCTCTGCCCAACAACGGGGTCGCCGCTCAGCTCGACTCGAATTGTGGGTGTGGAGGCCGAAGCTCACTGCTTCGAGGAGCTGCTTTCTGGGACTTGCTATGTTCGATCACCAATTTCAAAAATGAACTAAAATCAAATACTGAAGATCCTTGCGATATGTTGGGGACCTTGTAGGTGAGAGGTCTGTTGGTTAGTTTGAAATAGGATGAAATTCGAAAGGCAAGATCCCGACCCCACATGTCTGTCAACGGCGATGTGGGTCGTTTGG